ACGACGTGATATGAGATTTGAAAAAAATTCGGCAAAAGGCGGGATCGAACCCGGGTCGATAGCATCAAAAAGCCACCAACACATACTTATCCATCTGCATCACTGGAGCTGATGGTCTACAGCCACTTTTAACTAAATATAAATATACACTCCGTATTTTTTATTCCATAGTAAGGGCAATTCATACAACATTTAAACTGAGCTACTTTAATACCATCTCCGAACTTTCTACCACGACTCTGCTGTTCTTCGGCTGGTTCTTCCTGTATACGTTAATTGACAGATGTCTCGTCCAGTCAGCGGTGAGTAATCCCAAACCAATGGCGCTGTCTCAAACTATACCTACCTCTTCCGGTTTGTCTGATTTGTCGTTGTGTTTTCTGACTTGTTCATTTGTTTTCGGATTTGTCATCGTGTTTTCTGACTTGTTATAATGTTTTCTGAATTGTTGTTGTGCTTTCTGAATTGTTATTTAGTTTTTTAGACTTGCATTTGCGTTTGTAATTTGTTATTTTGTTTTCAGAATTGTGATTTGTTTTGCACTTCTCTGCCACCGTAATTATACCTTCAGTAAAACTTTTGCAATTGGCTTGGAAAATATGTTTTTTTTTTAATGTATGCTTGTTGCTGTTACAAAGTTTTGACCAGCAGGCGTCACCAAAGCATGTGGGGTTTCTAGTGTTTTTTTTTTTATTGAACATTTGAAGAGTTCATTTGCAAAAACCAATAAAGGCCACATAAAAAAAAAGAAAAAGAAAGGGCTGATTGCCATGCATTATTCTCCACATATAGCGTGATCTGTATGGAGGACGAAACCTGCAAAAACAATAAAATAAATAAATACACAAATAAATAAATATGCAAATAAATAAATAAATGTGTGTATAAATACACAAATTCTTGTTTAAATACATATATAAATAATTAAGCATGTGATTAAAGTAGTCAAATAAATAAAATTAATTGGAGAAAGTGGGCCAATTTAGTCCCAAGGAGTATTGAAATAGTACACTTACAAGTATACTACTAGTGCACTGATATTTACATACTACATAAAGTATACTTAAAATATACTTGAACTTTACTTAAGTATACTTAATAAAATAAACTTGAAGTATACTACTTTTTGGTAAGGGGACACAGTGGAACAAATCTCATGTTAGATCTGACAGGTGCTTTGAAATAATTTTCACTCTCTTTACATTCTTTACATAAATCATTTCTATTTAAATTAATGAAATATAGATGATAAAAATCATATGATTTTTTGCTGTGCACATTTTTTGGCAGTTTACGGGTTCATTTGCTGAAGCATGGCAGAAATGTAGTTGTTTCAGATGTTCAGTCCATTGATGATATATCATCAGTCATTACCTTGACTAGGTCACAGGTCTGTCAGGCACTGCCTGGAGGAAGTCTCTATAAAAACACAGCCTCGCGATTGGCCACCCTGCAAGTCAATCACTCTGTTTTGACAGCGCTCATGTCCTCCTGTCTGAATTTGTGCTCCACCCAGGAAAGTGTCCAACAGCAAACCTCTTTTCCACAGCTGCACACAAACAAATACACAGAATAACACAAACATTGGCGAAACTGATTTCATTCACTCATTTATAAGAAGAAACATGCCAAAAGTCAGCCTTCACAAAATACAATGCAGTAGCCTCTAACCTTAATGGATATTTTGGACTTTGGGTTCCTGCTATAAAAGATGACCTTGGTGTTGAATTGAGGACTTCCATCTTTTTTAAAAAGTTTAGTCCTTACAGAGTCTTCCTCGCAACGGATGACAGCATATACATCAGGAGCTGATATATATATATACACACATACAGAAGGAAAGATGAAAATTAAAGGCATAATCAGCTGAAACAAATAAAATACTTGTCTGCTAACAGTCAAAGCAGAACTGATCCAGTTTCTGACTGATCCAAAGCTGTCACTTAAAGGGATAGTTCACCATAAAATGAAAATGCTGTCATCATTTACTCGCCCTCAAGTTGTTCCAAACCTGTATAAATGTATTTTTCTGTTGCGCACAAAAGAAAGTATTTTGAAGAAAGTGAGTGAGCAAACATTTGATAGTATAGCCATTGAATTCCATAGTATTTTTTTCTATACTATGAAAGTCAATGGCTACCGTCAACTGTTTGGCTACCAACTTTCTTCAAAATATCTTCTTTGTGCTCACCCATATGGGTTTGGAACAACTTTAGGATGAGTAAATTACAGCATTTATATTTTGGGGTGACTATCCCTTTAATGAAACTTTGAATATTAGGCACAGTTGTACTTACAAATGATATAGCCTACATGCATGTGCTTTGTTGTACTTTATGGAGCTACTCCTATGATTTTATACCCAAAACGTTGAAAATCTGAACTGCTAACACCTTTCTTTCACCCTGAACATGTAAAGGTTACAAAGATCATAGTCATGCTTGTTGGTCACTTAAGTATTGCAATAAAGTTTAGTGGTGAGTTTTAACCTGTTTGTTTGGGATGGCTAAGGCCAGAGGCTTTGAGCAGATGGACTGTCGTTACGGCGCTGGGCTCAGGAAAACAACACCGCCACAATGAAGGAGCAGGCAGCTCTTCCTTCAACTCCCTGAAGACAGTAGATAAAGTGAAGAAGACAAAAAACAAAACAAAAAAGATTAATTTTGAAGACACTTCCTAATCATTTAAATCAGTCACCTTAGTAAACATTCAACATTAAAAATTACTGCATTCAACTATAAGTATCTGCAACTAGATCTACATTTTGTTTACTGTTCAATTGGTTGCTTATTTGAATACAAAACAGAGCAGAGTAGCCTAATCTTCTGTGCCTACCTGAGGCGTACATGTGAGTGTGAGAAAAAACGCAGAAGGAACCGACCAGTTGCACCAGGCAGGAAAGTAGTGGGGAGGATGATGTAGCGTCCAGGGCCAAGATTCACTCGCAGAGTAACGCTACGGGAGTCCATATACACAGAGCTAGCAGCCTGCTCACATAAACACTGTACACGACAAACACGATTCACCTCCACCTGAAGGAAGGATAAACAGACGGTCAAGTCTGACACATTGAGGACAAGTGACTATTCACTCAAGCAATTAATTCCAAAACACTCATTCAGACTCGGGATCACCAAATATTTAAATATAAAT